AGACTCTGCGTCTGATGAAGCATCATTTTCTGAATCAGAGGATGACAAACATTTCCCTATTTACTCCTTTAAAGAGATAGGAAGCTCTCTTCCTACTCCACCACTCCCATGTATTGAAGCTCATGTACTAGCGACAAAGTTTTCCCGTCCGAAGAAAGTTATAGCTTATATGGACACTGGGGCCCAGATTACAATGATGAATCCTAGCATTCTCCCACCAGAATCATGGGTAACACATGCTGCATACTTTGTAGCAGCAGATGGGAAAGTCTTCAGGACAAATTTAATGACCAAGGAAAAGATAGGAAACAAATTCTTCCCCGACTGCATAGTTTGGACCAAGGTCATTTGAAGTAATCTTCCAAATAAAGATATTGTAGTAGGGATGAATGTATACTCATCAGCCAATAGACTCCAGATTCTTCCCACGGGATTAAAATTCAAAAGAGAATTCAAACCTTATTCTGGGATATTGAAGTTATATTCACTATCTAAAATCCCTGCTGGATATGAAGAAATCAAGTCCAACCTACTCAAACTCTGTGCAAACAGCCATGAAACATTCTGCCATCCAAAACCTCTATGGAAGAATAAATACTTTTTTGTTCAACTTCATTTTAAGCTCAATGAAGATGTTAATCCAACCAAGGCCACTCATCCATGAATGAGTCCATCAGATTATACATTGGCCAGAGAAGAATGCAACCAGTTGCTCAAGCAAGGTCTAATAGAACCCACCAAATCAGAATGGGCTTGCCAAGCATTTTATGTAGAAAAAAGATATGAAAAGTTAAGAGGAAAAAAGAGGCTAGTAATTGATTATAAACCTCTAAACCATTTCCTCAAGGATGATAAATTTCCTATTCCAAAGGCCTCGTCCTTAAATGTTTTCATCAAAGATGCCCAGATCTATTCCAAGTTAGATCTTAAGTCAGGATTTTGGCAATTGGGTATCGACCTTGAGGACCGTTATAAAACGGCGTTCTGCATTCCTAACACCCAATACCAATGGACTGTGTTACCATTTGGGCTTAAGGTAGCTCCATCACTTTTTCAAAAGGCCATGACTAGAATTTTTGAGCCTATTCTCAATAGTATCCTTATCTATATTGATGATGTGCTATTATTCTCAAAAGATGAAAAATCCCATAAACAACTATTGGGACAATTCCTTCAAATAGCCCAACGACATGGAATGATGCTCTCTGAGAAGAAAAGCCAATTGGGCCAAACAGAAATTGACTTTCTAGGAATGCATTTTTCCCTAGGGAAGTATCAACCTCAGCCTCATATTGCTCAAAAATTGTTAAACTTTCCCGATGAAAATCTCATTGTTAAGTAGACTCAGCAATTTCTTGGTATAATTAATTATATAAGAGATTTCTTGTCAAAACTGGCAAGATACACGAGTCCTCTATCTCAAATGCTGAAGAAAACCCCCCACCACCATGGGGAACAAAGAAAACTGAAGTAGTAAGAGCCTTGAAAAATATCGCACAAACCCCACCTGCCTTAAAGATCCCGGGAGACGGTAAAAGAATCTTACAGACGGATGCCAATGATCATTACTGGGGAGCCGTCTTCATATAAGAAATTGATGGAATAAAGTATTACTGTGGTCATGCTAGTGGTCAGTTCAAAGAAGCTGAAAAACATTACCATAGCACTTATAAGGAAGCTCTTGCAGTTAAGATGGGTATCCAAAAGTTTGACTTTCACCTGAGAGGTCATCAGTTTGAAGTCCAGATGGATAATTCCTCTTTCCCTAAGATCCTTGAATTCAAAAATAAGATGCCTCCTGATCCTCAAACTCTTAGGCTCAGAGATTGGTTTTCTAGATATGATTTTATTGTGAAACATATCAAAGGAACTCAAAATGTGATTCCTGATTTACTTTCTAGGCCTATGAAACCCATCCAGATCATTACTACCAAGCACACTTTTCCTTTGATTCTCATGGTCAAACCATTGCCAACCTGTGCCTCCAAGACCAAAGACTTTCCTCCAGGAGTAATTGTATCCTCTTCACCCTCACAACTTAAGCAGTATACCAGGAATAATATTTTTTATTATATGACAAAAATCATAAGGAATAAACTCCTGGACCATACTCCTTATTTCCCAGACACACCATTTCTCCTACCAATTTTAATAAACCCTAATGCTAAATTCACAAAAAACTATTTATGGTATATTTGGTGTGCCACTGCTTTATATTTTATGCCTGTCCTCATACCCACTGAAGCCATGTATGAACACATAATGGATCCGAAGAACCACAAATCCTTGATTTGGACTACTCTTGAATGGTACTCTCCGCTAACATGGTGGAGAGATCAATTAAAACCAATCCTAGACGAGGTCAAAGAAAGGGGATTAGCCTCAGAGGCTATTAGCAAATTCAAGATTGTTTTCTTCATGCACAGGTCCTATCAAACAGATCCTGCCACTAAGTTACTTGGTTGTAAGAATTATGTTCATATATGGGAAACCATTGATGATTATCCTCCAAATCTAAAAGTCACAAGAAAATTAATGGAATATGTTAACTTCATCAACCTCCATGAACCAGACAAGATGAATGCTAACTCCACTTGTATAAGTCATCAAGCTCAGTATAAAAATCGAGAGGTTGGAGAAAGCTCAGTTCAAGCCACACCAAAAAGCTGATTCCCCAATGGAAGTTGAATTCTCAGAAGGACACGTGGAAGAAGTTCATAGAAAAATATCAGACCATGCTTACATGATGGATGACGTGTGGGAAAAAGAGACATCTCGATACAGAGACTACTTTTCAGAAGAATACTTATCCGATTAGAATATGTCTCCAAGTCATGAACCTATCTTTAAAGACTAATTGGACAAGTGTCTCTTATTAATCACAAGCATGTTTATAAATAGTTAAGTTTCGTCCTTTTGTGTAATAGTACTACAATAATTTATCCATAAGGGATACGGGTGTCGGACTTTTGAAAGAAGGCATTAATGATGCCATGTTTGTAAATAGTGTGGTTTTGTCTTTTGTGAATCTCCTTGGCTATAAAAGGAGACCTCTTGTAATATTTCAAGACATAAGCAATAAGAATAAAAACCATCTTGTGTGCTTAAGAATAAAATGTTCTAACTCTCTTTTCTTTCTCCCTAAAAGCTTACTTAAATATATCATCGGAAAAATGTGTTATTTTTTATAATTATTTTTGTTACTAATATAAAAATCAATGAGACAAATATTTATAAATAAAAAATGTTAGACAAAAATATATAAGTAATATATGAGTTAAATAACATTAAAATTATATGTTAATATAAATAATTCATAATTATTTTATGATCACCAAAACAAAAATATTATATATATATATATATATATATATATATATATATATATATATATATATATATATATATATATATATATATATATATATATATATATATATATATATATATATATATATATATTACTCTAAAAAAAATTACAAGTTGTCAAATGAAAAGTACTTCGAAAATACAAATATCACCCTACAATGTGGCTTTTGCAGGATAGATCAAATACCGTGCAAGGATAGATCAAATACCGTGCAAAAATGTTAGTTGTAACATGTTGTAAGGAGAAAGGCACGTCACTAGTTACTCACCTGTATTTCACTTTGCAATGTTGTCAGGTGAAATTCACCTCGAAACCCCTTTTCTAAAATTCAAAACAAAAAATGCGCGTGTCAAAGCTAAGCTGAACATGATAATTTCAGAGTAGAACAGTCAGAAAATTACAAGGTGAATTTAATCTTGACAAATTTTGAATAGATAATTTTTTTTTAAATATTCTAAATACTAATAATATTGTTTTAATATATTTTAAATAACATAATTTTTTAAACAACAAAATAAAATACGATATATACTTTTTTAACACTTAACGTTTTTAATTATATTGTTGAAAAAAATTAAAAATAAATGTATACCTTAAAAAATGGAAAACAAAAAACAAATAACTAATTCCAATCTTTGAACTTGACATAGATATGGCTTCTAAATGATTTTTAAAGTAATATTTGATGAAAATTGGAGTTGAAATGAAGAGAAATAAAGGGAGAGCATATGAGAGAGTTGGGAGAGTGAGGAGAGAAATTCTGCAAAAGTGAAAGTAACGCAAGTGGGAAAAATGGAGTGTTGTGGTAAAAAAACTCAAATTTTAACTTTGTTATTTCCACGTTAAAGGTAACGCGAGAAAAAAGCAGTAAAAGCACAACCAAACATTTCACTTAATCTATCCATCGTTTTACCCACGCCAGTAGAAAGAAACTATGCCTACTGCACTACCAGCTGTACCTCAAATCAATATGGACAAAAAAATAATAATGAATATTTTTAATTACACGTGTTGATCATCAGGTTAAAACAAGTGGTACCCTATCTTTAAAAGTTGCCGGTTGTTGATTCATACACACTACACAAGGACAAAAACTACATGTTTGATTTCAAATTATACTAGTGATATTGTTTGATTTCCAAACTGATGATAGATTTTATGGAATATAAGAAACAGAACAAAGACTGCGATGGTGATCACCATAGCTCATTCTTCTCATCAAGTTATGCACTTCAAATGACAAGTGAAATTGTCAGGTAAACATGATGTTGCTGATTCCTTAACACAGAATTTACAATACAAGAAGCAAGTATAGATATATAGTACTGTGAATAAACAACCATTTAAACTCAAAATAGTGAGATTCCCTACAACATGAAATAAAATTAAGCATGGAAAATGAAAACGAGTATTAAAAAACAAAAATCATAAATAAAGGATTTGAAACAATTCACTCTAGTAACACATTATTGGCTCCAAAAACATCAAATGAAAAAGTCAAAGAAATTACAGACTCTTGCCCATTTGCTCAGTGCAAGTGCCTTGTTTGTTACCACCAAATCCAAACACCAACCAATCCTCTTCCTCATGGTTATTTATTTTCTGATTCTTCAATTAACCTAATTCAAACTCAACTCTGCTGATCATCCCTCCTCCCTGCCCCATCACCTTCCCTATCCTCAAGCAACCTTCCAGCTTCCTCATCACCTTGCGGAGTTTTCTTCTGTGTCTCCTTAGCCTTAAGCGCCTGCAACTTGGAATGATTATAATAAGCCACACCCAGAAAAGCAAGCCCATACCCAAACAAATTAATGGGCGTAACAGTATCCTTAATCACACTCCACGAAAACGCAATCAGAAGCCAATCCTTCACAACTCCAGCAACATTCATGGTCAAAGCAGACGTCTTCCCAACCAAAAGAAAAACAGCCAGATTCAAAGCAAACGCACAAAGAGAATTAGTCCCAAATATGACAAAATCGAAATGAAAACTCGAAGTGTCTCTCAAAACAGGAAACTCGACAAGAATCCAAGGAACAGACAAGAAAACCAAACAACACGGTGCAACATAGTACAAAGACGTAATCGGATTCAACGAAATGCCTTTAGAATTCAACAAGATTTGAATCATAACCAATCTGGTCGCTTCGAAAGCAACAGCACCCAGCTGAAGAACGACACCCCAAGTATCAAACCTGGCCTCACCATAGGCCGCGACACCAACACCTAAAGAAATCGAAAGCATGTTAAACATCGTATCATTCTTATAATTCTCCTTCTTCAAAACAACGCCAATGGAGTAAACAGCGACCGGCATGAGCGCTTTCAGCATCTGGATAAACGAAACAGAGAGATAGATATACGCCGAATTCGATAGCCATAGCGAGAGAGAATACAGTGCTCCAATCGGAACGACGGAGGAGAGGTAAACTTCGCGTGACATTGAAACCGGCTCCACGAATTTGAAGACGCGTACGAGGAGAACAGCTAGGGTTGCGCAGAAGGACATGTGGATCATGGTTAGGGAGATTGGGAAGGGCCAGTTGTACATCTTTTTGTCGAGGATGTATTTGTTGTAGACGATCACGGTGAAGGATAAGAAGATCCATATCGCTACGTAGGTGTAGGATAACAGGATCTTTTTCATTACGCCATCGCTAACAGATCCACCTTTCCCCATTGTTGAACCAACACCAACGAAGAACAAGATGCAGAAGAACAAGAAAGAGTCAGAGAGAGTGATAACAGAAATATACAATTTTTGCGACTTCTAAGGATACAAAACCAAACCAACTATTTAAATCAAAATAATACTTAATTATAATTATAATAATATTATATTTTTTCTTACCATTATTATTACTATTATTATCATTTTAATTTAGACTAGCGACACTTTTGCCTTTATTGCAAAACTTAATTTTGGTGAGATTCATTTTTATGTATTGGTCAATGTATAATTTTAACCTATGTTATCTTTCTAATAATTGTATATTTTATTATTCTATACTTGCTCCCTTTTATTAAGCATAAGAATCAGATTTTATCAACTCAATTATTTTAAATTTTTAGATTTAAAATGATTTTTTTTTTATGGAAAATTGTTCCTGATTTTTCTATGGGTGTTAAAACGTCTTTTTTCTTAAAAAGTTATGCTGTTTATTAATATTTTGTACTTATTTTTATAGAAGTTTAAACCCCTTCTTTTTACATATTTTATTTCCTAACTTTCACCACTTAAATTTATTAAATAAGTGAAATAATGTTAAAATAAACTTGTTAGGCTATATTTAAATATTATTGCATCTGAACTGATTTAATTAGATAAATGGTATGATTAACTTTTGTAACTGTCAAAAAAAACTTTTGTAAAAAAAATTAATAGGTTTTTTTTAGATGTTACTCTTTTTGTCTTAAGATAAATGTATAAATATAATTTTTTTTAAAATAAGTGTTCTTTTAGTTTTTAATATTTTTTTAATTTTTATCTTACAATTATATTATTACTTTTAATTTATTTTTCTCTCACGTTATATTAATAAAAATAATTGATAAAATTGTTATTCAATCTTTTATTTATTAGAGTTTTTAATATGTATGAAAGTAGTTATATTAATGAATTAAAATAAAAATAATTGATAAAATTGTTATTCAATCTTTTATTTATTATAGTTTTTAATATGTATGAAAGTAATTAATATAATATATTTATATTTTATTAATAGAATACATTAAATAATATAAATTAAAATAACACATTAAATAGTATAAATTTAAAATGATTATAAACGACATTCATTCGTAGATATCTTTGTAATATTGTTTTACATCCCCTAATGCACAACCTTTAAATACACAACCTTTAAAGTCATATTATTTTATGAAAAAGATTGAATTCAGATTTAATTTTATATTTAATTTTTCAAAATCAAATCAAATGAAATCACTTACATATATTTCACTAATCAATTATTTATTGATTTTTAATTTATAAATAACGAATTGCGGCAAATGCTCTTGCAGTGGAAAGGGAAGTTCTCATTGGGGTGTCAACTTCTCTGAGACACAATTCTGACACATTGATTTTTTTTGGTTTTTTATGATCTTTACATGCTAGTTTTGCTTCTTTGTTTATAATAATTGATTTAATAAGTGAAAAATAATACAAAGTGTTGGACCAAAATTTGATATTATGTTGGAATTAAATTTAAAATTTTGAGTAATTTTGAATTAATTTTGAAGAATAAGATTCAATCATATTGATTAAAATTTCTTATTTTTCACTCTTTACTCGAGTGATTCAACCAACCTTAGTTGTAAGATGATTATGCGCAGCAATTTCAATGAGCAAGAAAAGAAAAGATAATTGGAGAAGAAGTAGAAGTTAGGGTTTGAATAAATAAATGATTTATGAATTCTGTAGAGTAAACTCTCTGCTCTTTACTATGCAAACTGCAATATTATTCATTGTATTATAAAATAAGGGTTACTCTTTAATTATAGTTTTAGGTTAGCTTTCTCCCTAAGGCAAAGCTCAAAACTATAAAAGTTTAAAATACTTATTTTGGTCTAAGTCGAAATCATGTGTCAAGCCACATGCTTTGACACTTCGACGTCTAAGACAACTCGACACACACACACACACATACACTAGGCTAATTCGACACACCCTTGTATCCATCAAGCAACATGCTACTTCAACATAAGTGATCGTGCCTGATCAGAGTTGGACTGTCACAACTGGCTTTGAATGGCGTTCGAAGGAGATGGGGGGGGGAGGGTACCTGCAAGACACTCCAATGACAAAGTGAGAGACGGAATGAGCAGGAAAGTAAGTATATAAGTGTGAATGAATGAATACCCGACCCTATCGAAATAGAGGGTATTTATAGCCCCCAGCGCTGGGCCAATGTCCCTTTATTAGACTGACCAAACAGGCCCAACAAAGGGACTGCCAGGTTCTACGTGAGTAGTGGGGACCTGCACGTGGTCCCCTACCTGGATGATGCTCTCCGCAGAATAGGGAGGGTAAAGACGCGATCTTCCTGGGACCCTGAGGACTCCGAGACATTCGGAGAGGTTGAAAGTCAGCCCTACGAGGAGGGTACTCGAGCATGGCTTGGATTGAGATGTTCCTCGTCTAGGACGTCCCTCGTCAGGGAAACTCTTCGCGGGCACCGGCGGGCGCAGTCGTATTCGACCAGTCACCCATGATCGGGGTGTGCTTGGAGGATCTAATGCTCAGCATGGTACGTTGTAAAGCTTGGATTGGACCTCACTGGTGATTGGGCCACGGGCAGGCCCAGTCCAGAACAGGAGCCCCCCAATTCGTTGCTCCTGGCACAGGAGTTATAACTTGATTCAAGTTCGCTCTTTCGCGAGACTCGCTTGCGCGACGCAGGGGTTTTCAACTAGGGAGAAGAGACATCGCCCGATTTGTGATTTTCCCCGTGCCGCGATCGAGGAGTGTTCGAGGAACTTTTTATAGGGAGGTGGTGGCGCGTTAGTTAGACACGTGGTGCGGCTCTTGGAAACCATAATGCCGCCCTGGGGAATAGGGCCATCATTGTCTATGCGAGTAGACTTCGAGGATGGGGGCGGTTTGTGGTTCCCCGGCACGATGTTTCATATCCCACGTCATCTCTATAAATAGGGTTCCAGGGCCCATAGTTTGTTTTCACCTCTTCCCACTTCTCATATCTTCTTTGTTTTCAATCTCGTGAATTTTCCTAGCGTCGCTGAGACCGTCGCGCCGTTAGCCGTCTGATCATCTCCACCACAGTCATTCTTCATTCTTCTCTCAAGTTAGTGTCTTCTCCTTTTGATATCTCGTGTTCTAGATAGATTTGATGGTATTTTAGTGGTAGAATCTCGTGTCTGGGGATAGTGCCTGATAAATTTAAGCGCGCTAGGCACCTGATTCATGGTTGTCCACGAGATATTCATAAGTTTAGGCATACGGTTTACGATCGTGCCCGCGATACTCATGCATTTGACTGGTAGATTTATGAACCTGGTCGGGAGATTCATCCTTTCGTTAGTATGTAGGCTAGTTTTCCCCATAGTATTCTTGTACCGGGCCAGAAACATTATGAACTTGGTTGCAGGATTCATCATTCGCTTGTGATATTCATGCTATGCTCGCGTCGTTCATGATTGATACACGTTCGCCGCTGAGGTCAGTGTTTTGGTCGAGGTCCACTTGTTTCCCGTTTTTCATGCGGATGGTCGTAGACTCGGTCTGGGTGTTGCTTACTTCTCCCTGTCTTTCTGGCGGACAAGCAGACTTGTTGTCGAATTCACCGGTTTCCTGTACTTTGCAGGTAAATGGCCGACATTCCTGAGTCCTTGGGGCGTAACGATGTCGAGGAACCAAGCACAGCGGAGGAAACTATCACCCTGGTCGACACCGTCGATGACCCCACTCTGGATTGGGTCGGTGTTAAGCCCCAGGGAATAGCTTCGATCTACAGCCTTTCCAGTAGACAAGCTTACACTGTCGTCGAGTATGGCGGCGGTCAAGAGGGATTTCGAAGGAACTTCAAGATTATGAGGCCGACAAGGGATGCCCGTATCTGTTCAGAGTTCACACGGGATGCATTTCCCATGTACGAGATCGTATTCAGAGATCTCGGGCTCCGGTTGCCCTTCAATGACTTCCAGGTCGGAGTGTTCAACCATCTGAACCTGGCTCCCTCCCAAATTCATCCTAATACGATTGCCTTTCTCCGGGAATTCGAACTCACCTGTCGCTTCCCGAGGATTGGGGCAACGATCCCCCTGTTCTTCAGGGTTTTTCACTTACAACGGAAGTCTCAAGGAGGGAAGCACAGTTGGGTGTCCCTTAAGCAGTCGAAGAGACTGTTTAGGATGTATATGGATTATGTGCAAGATTTTAAGGATAAGTGGTATATTTTGCAATCGTCTACCCAGACAACCATAGATTCGTTGTTCGAACCGGCCACTATGGTGGACGAGGATGGGGAGCCGTGTTTGGATGCTGAGGGTAACCCCGAGATTGGGAGAGTCTTTAGGTTTCCTATTCACTGGTGTTCGGGCCATTACGACCATGGTCCTAGATACTACCACACTCCTGCTGGGGGTATGAGTGTTGAGGATGAGGAAGCTTATGGCGTCCTAAACAAGTTTGTCGACGGCTTCTTTCCTGCTCGGTGGGTTACGAGGGAAGGGGACGATGTTCTCGATGAGGATGGCTATCCGACGTTCGAGGCTCGCCCGATCAATACCAAGGCGCTCATCGAGTGCCAATCTTACGGGCAAGCCATAGACCTCTTAGATTTCTTGCTTTTCTCTATTGACGTTGCTCTTTATTTGTTTTCTTTAATGTATGTAGCTAACCCAAGTACGCTTCCTTTGCAGGTCACATGGCGGAGCGTCGCGAAAGGTTGCTGAAGTTAACCCAAGACAAGAAAATCAGCAAGAGATTGGTGAGGCCGCAACAAGCCACGCGAATAGGCCCACCTCCTGACTCGGGCAGGGAAGGATCTAGTGGGTCCTCGGGTTCCCCAGACGCCGAGCGCCAATCTGCTCTGATCAGCAAGAAGCGGAGTCAACCAGATGATGGGGTCAAAGTGACTGACGGAGGTGCGGGTGCCCGGGCCTTCGGCCTGCCACCCTGCTTCGTGGAGAAGGATTTCTTCGAGGGGTTTCCCTTGTCTG